AATAGCACGGGACCCTCCCCTAGGATCTGAAAGAACAGATACTGCGTTGTTCTTCTCATAAGGACACTTCTCCTCACCTTTGTCATCCTTGGGTGTAACGTTGGTTTCTTCCTTGTTCGGACTCTGCTCTGGTCCTCCTGTACCTAATTCTGCTGCTTCGTTAGGTGCGGGTGGTCCTGCTTCACCCTTTCCTCCTGCCTTTGCTCCAGCCGTTTCTGCAGTTGGTGGTGACTGTGGTGCTGCTGCTGGTTGAGGTGGTCCCGTGTCGTCACCTGATGTGGTTTGCGCTGGCGGTGGTGCTGGCGCCGGTGCTGGTCCTGGGGATGTGGCGCGCGCCGCGTCCTTGCTCGGCTCCTTTGCTGCAATAAGTTGTAATGAAGAAAAAACGGTAGATGATAAAAAAAACGACACAAGTGGTAGACAGAAAGAACGGGGCGTGACGGTGTGGTCAGGCGGCCGCAAGCGTACGGTGAGGTGAACTCGGTCGACTGGGTCGGGGTGGGATGATATCAGTGCAACTTTTATTTGTCGCCGTCCCGCTCCGTCATCTCGTCTACCCAGTCGTCGGCGCTACCGCTAGCGCTCCCGTCGCCGCTGCCGTCCTGGCCGCTCAACGTCCACGAAGTCGTTTGCTGTGCTGTTGTTCCGCCGTGTGTGCGTTGTTGTTGTGGCCGTGCTTTGTTGTGTGGAGGCATGCATGTTCGTGCGCGGTCGTACGGTCTGTATGCGGCGGTATGTTGGTATTCTTTCGAGTCGTATGCTTATGATTCGTATCCGTACCTTTTTTTTCCGCTTCCTGAATTTTGCGTTCCACTATGGCCTTCACGTGCTCAACAGCTTTCTTCGTCTCCGTCCTTACTTCTTCCTCCGTTTGTTTTACCTCAGGCATCTTCTCGCTAATGTCCTGGACTTGGTCTGTAACACCCTGACTTTTTTTATACGCCTGCCACGTCTGATCACAGGGCATGTGGTTTTCCATGTTTCCTATTTTGTCCATTATTCCGCCGTTTCGTACTAACCAGTCTACCATTTCTCCATCTACTACTCTTACTCCACTTTTCTCAATGTTATACCCACATTCTGTGCACCTTCGCTCAAAGACTGCACCTGTCATTGTTTGCCCCGTTCCATATTTACTTGAGACCATGTGTTCCATTGTTTTCCAGGCATACTTTACACCCCTCTTAAATCCTTTTTGCTGTGCACAAAATTTTCTTTCCAATATGTACCCAAATGCATTTGCTACCTCACATCTCAGCCTCTCCTCCGTTTCATCCATGTGGACATTTCCCCTTGCTCCATCTTCTTTGGGGCCTTCTACTTTATTACCGTTTGCAAACCACAGTGCACCTGACATGAGTCGGCATCGCATCATGTCCGCTACTTTTTGGCCCATGTGATGACTCCCATCTGAGGAGATATCATCCCAACCATAATTTTCACAATTTACACCGTATTCATCCATCATATCCTTCTTCTCTTCCATATAATCAGTAAATTGCTGCAACACATCCTTCAATACCTTGAGTTCTGTGCTCTGTATTATGTACATGTACAATAAAGAAATACTCATGTGCCCATTCCACCTGTATTGTAGTTGCCGTAAGCAATGTCATCGCCATATATGTATATACTACGTGAATAAATGCTGCGTCCAGCGCATAATCTCATTTGCCTTTTCTTTCCTCTCCCCTCTTTTCTGTAACTTACAGCATAAGTACGCAGCACGTACATTTGCTTCCTCCATTCTTCCACTATGCTATTCCAATCACAATTATCTGCTGTTGCGGCCTTCTTCCCCTTCTTTCCCCTCCCGGCTTCAGGGCCACCATTCGGACCACCACCACTACCACCACCACCAGCACCAGATGATGCCTTCGCCCCCGGTGTCACCGTTGCCGGTTTCGCCGCTACTGGTGTGGCTGGTGTGTGGTTGTCGGCAGGGGCGGGTACGGCTGCGGGAGGTGACCGTGTTTCTGAGTCTGACTTGCCTGGCTGTGATGATGATGTTGTGGATGATGATGATGTTGCCTGTGTTTCCCCCGGTGAGTGTGCGTGTTCTTGTGGAGTTTTCGAAGCGGAGTCCTGCCCCTGCTTCACGCGCTGTATTATAGTCTCCATACTGTCGCTGTCGCTGGATTTATGTAGTTCTTCCAATATTTGTTGCACCTCCTGCTGTAGTGCTTGCCCCACTTCCTCAATTTTGTTGTTCGCCGCTTTCTGTATTTCTTGTGCACTATTGTCTCTTTGTACTATGCATTCCGTCCCTAATACTCCTACCTCGCCATCCCTCAAGTATCCCGTGTTCCTGTCAAGCCATCTGGACATTATGGGCCATAAATTCCAATCTTGCGTGTTTTGTGACTTCTGCCTTCTGCCGTCCACCCTATCAGCCGCCTCACATTCCATATTCGGCTCGTTCGCATGTCCGTCCCGTACCAAATGCTGCGCGGCCGTAAACGCATGGTTGCCACGAGCCGTGCGCAAACACTTTTCTCCTATTATTTTTTTCATAAATATATTTACTAAAATACATTTCATATATGGCATCACGGTCTGATGTCCCTGTTGTCTAGGTTGCACAGTATTCAAGTGCGTGCTGCTGCGCTCCCAGTGGATGCCATGTTTAAAACTTAATGCCTTTAATACTAGCCAGCACACAGCCTGGTCGTTGTCACTAAGTCTGTTGCCGTCGTTGTGTGCAGCGTGAGACGGTTCACACGTACTTGCTATTATTTCATCATCCGTCTCATTGTCCATATGTGCTCTAAATTTCTCCCAGATTGCCTTCACATTCTGCCAAAAATTTTCCTGTTAGTACAACATTCATTGCATGCACATGTATAATCTATATTAATTCTTCTACTTCCTCTTTGCATGTAACTGTCTGTGCTATTACCTTCGCCTTCTATATATATATATTCACTCACTTGAGGATATTATATGAACCGTCAATAACTATGCCCATTATTCTTGTGCAGAATCTCTAATCCTACTCCATAATACTTAGGCAGTAGCACTGAATTCTGCACCAGTGGTCCATATGCACAAACTTACCTTACATGCCCTGTCACAATGCTCTACGCCTATATCCCCTGTCTGGATATAATTATCCCATAATATTTGTGCATAACGTGCCATGAGCCTCCTATCCTCGTAATATAATGCGTAACCCTATGGTGTACCTATCTAATGTCCACAGTACCCCGCAATTATCATGAGAGGTATAATTGCTTCTATGGGTACTGTAATTCCTGCATACTTAAAATATTGCTTCTTCAATGTATCCCTTAATAGTAATACTCCTAATATAAATCCTTCACCTCAGCACTCTTAACTACAATAACCCCCGTGAACAATAAACACCCCCCGTTAACAACAAATACCCGCACTTAACAACAAATACCCTCCTTAACAACCAATACCCGCCTTTACAAAAAATACCACCTTAAACACAAATACTCCCTGTACACTAAACCGAACAACAACAACATCAATGCTTCTGCCGCCGTTGCTGCCTTCCTTTCCTCGTTCTTCCGTCCCACACAATATGTGTATTCCTTCGTCCCCGTCCCCCTCTCCGTGCTCCCTCACGCGAATCCGTCCCTCGAAAACTCCTTACTCGGACAATCTCCGTTTACCCGGCCGCGTTTGCTCGGAGAGACAATGTGTACCTGCTTACACTCGGACAATGCTTCGTCGAATCGTGGTTACACTCGGCTACAATGCGGTTTACCCTGCCGCGTTTGCGCGGAGAGACAATCCTCCTCCTTCTTACACTCGGCTACTTCGTCGAACCCCTTACTCGGCTACGTGGTCGAATCCTTACAATCGGCCACGTTTGCTCGGAGACAATGGTCCTGCGTGGTGCACGCGGCCCCGCTGGTCGACGCGTGTACTCGGAGAGACAATGTCTCCCTTCGTTCTTACACGCGGCCACGTCCTCGGACAATGGGTTTACGCGGCCGCTTTGGTCGACGCGTTTGCTCGGAGAGACAATCTCTCCGTCCTTTCTTACACTCGGCCACTTCGTCGAATTGTGGGTACCCGGCCGCGTGTGCTCGGAGAGACAATGTGTACCTTCTTACACTTGGCTACTTCCTCGACGCGGGTGCTCGAACGGACAATCCTCCTCCTGCTTACATTCGGCTACTTCGTCGAATCCGTCTTACAGTCGGCCGCGTTGGTCGACGCGTTTGCTCGGAGAGACAATCTCTCCTCCGTTCTTACACGCGGCTGCGTGCGCGGACAATGGGTTTACCCGGCCGCGTTTGCTCGGACACAATCGCTTGTACCAGGATGCGGCAACGACGGCAGAAGCATTGATGTTGTTGTTCGCTTTAGTGTACGCACAGAGACAGTGTGTGCAGGCGTTTAGTGCAGGAATGGGGTGGGGGTGGTATTCATGACGCGTTGTGTGTGTACGGTAGTGTAGTAGTACTTTTTTTTTTTTTCCTTCTTCAAGGAAGGCAGAAAGGTGGACGGCAGAAGGAAATAAGTAGTTGTTGTGTATTTATCACGACTTTGCAGAAGCGTTGACGGAGACGGGGTGTGACGAAGAGGCGTTGACGAGAGAAGCGTTGACGGAGAAGTGTTGACGGAAACGGTGTGTCCTGGAGACTGGGTGTGTGTATATTTTTTTTTTTGTTGTTGTTGTTAATGTGCCGTAGTGTTTCCAACACGAATGAGTAGTTGTATATTATGTCGACTGCACCAAAATGGCAACGGGAGTTTGTGGATGCATGGACGCATTATGTCATAAGGAACGCATTCAAAAATGGAACAAGTTATTTGGTAAGTACAGTTAAACGCAGCATCGACAGTGAAGTAATGCTAGATTTGGGAGTATATATATATTGGACACATGGATCTGTGTGTACATATAAAGTAGTCATGTGTATATCGCATAATGTGAATAGTATCATGTGAGAGAATAGAGTGCACACCCAAAACAGAGGTCTGAAGGGAAGTAAGCATCAATATCGTGTCGCTGTGAGAGCAAGGGACAGAAGGAGGAAGAACTGCATATTCATGTGTCGCCTTTTCCAACTGTAGAGAAAAATATCCGAGGAGGTCGATAGAATCTTCGATGAGTTAACCGAGGTAATTGGCCAGAGTAACAATGCGAACAGTGTCATTTGTGGGGATTTGTATTACCAGGTTAGAACATGCTTAAGAAGATGTCAAGGCATTGTAAGTATTTTACTATACATGAGGGGTTATGGATATACCGCGCAAAAATGGGTCAAGGCGAACTTTACGAAAAGGAGTGCAGAAGGGTTTAGGAAATATTTGGAATGTATATTAGCGAAGGAAGCTATAATACAACTCTATGGCGGGAGTAAGGAACATCTGGAAATAATTCAGGAAATTTCGGACACATTAACAAATGGAGGTACTGCGTGGACAGAGATGTATGCAGATGAAATATGTAAAGGACAGGATTATGGTAAATTCATATTCGGGTCAGGAATTCTGGAGGAAAGCATAAGAAACCGCCTGGAAGAATTAGAGAGCGGTTGGGCAGGGAGAAGACAGAAGGGTAAACATGGAGGATCCGGAAAATGTACATGGAATGATGCAGAGCACCGAGAGCAGGAACAGGAACCGAAAAGTAATAGTAGCTGTGGTCAACGACTGAAGAAGAAGGGGGAAGAGGATAAAGATACGAAGGAAGTAATGGAATTAATTAAAGTAAATGAGACCAGATTGTCGCTGCATCTTCAGCGAATAATAAAGAATAGTTTGGAACCACGAGTAAGGTGTAAAGTACAGACGGAAATTAAAACGAAGATACAACAAGGAGTAAGTGACGTTGGTGCATCTGTACGAACGGGAAGTACAACACGGACAAAGGGCCCTCCCAGGCAGCAGAAGGGCAAAGACAGCAAAGCACGCGTAGGGGCCGGTAAGAACACAGGAGGAGCAAGGGACGGCGGCAATCCTGCTAAGGACTCCAAAGCACCTAGACCAAACGATGCAGCGGAGACCCAGGCGGTCAAACCAGCATCCGCCAAAGCAGCACCCACCAAACCAGTAGCGGCGAACCCAAATGCGGCCGCGGGGAAACCACCGGTAGGAACGAAACCGGAGAACACGAAGACGGCGGGATCAACGAAGATTGTAGTAAGGACGACGACACGGCGGATGCGCGCCTTGTGCATGCTAATCCCTTCGCGACCGTAAATCGAAGAATGTGCGATCAAACGCAGTTTGCATGAGAAGGCGTTATTATGTACATAATTCATTACAGCATATGCAATAGGAGGATGGGCGGCACATGAATGGGACTAGCACATTATAACACTAGATCCGCGTTCCTTCATTAAGTGCCATAATGTGTTACTACGCTTAAGTTACTTCGTAACCCCGTTTTTTTTTTT